CCTTCTCTTCAGAGCTTGTCTCAAGCCATTGTCGCTGGACCCTTCTGCAAGCCTGTTCAGTTTGTTTATACGTAAAATATTTTAAAGTAGTTCTTAGCTATGATTTCATATCCACAGTTGCTTCCTATTTTAATGTACCAAAAAGATAAAATAGACCTCAGGATCCTTCTTTTTCCCATGTTAAGCTCATTTTTACTACCTTTTTATCCATCTTAAGAGACAGCAGAGGGCCAAGTTTTCATCTCTTCAATACACTGGGTCTTGAAATCCATTTCAGAATATAAGCTTGAATCTCCACAGTGTGTAGATATGGCAAGTTGGGGTTAAATTCTCAATGAAGCCCTATGTCAGTGGATATAAGAGCTCTGCCATTTCCATACCGGCTCTCCTAGATTGTACCTGTGCTTTCTGTCATCCCCTAGAAAAGTGATCTAGTTTGCGGGATTTTGCATGATAGCAAAAGGTTCTTTGAGTTACCTCATTTAGTTTTCCTTTCTTTTCTGTATGTACACAGGATTTTTAATAGAAGAAAAACTACAGTGGGAGTTGGGTGTTTAATTCCAGTATACTCAGCCACTGAGCTCAGCTAGAAGCATATCACTGGTTTTTATGAGAGAAGTTCTCATTTTGCTGAGTATTTTACTGAGATTATTTATTGATACTGCTTTTTTTTATTCCTGCAAAGCTCATTTTCTAGAGAAACAGGAAAAAAAAAATCCTTTTTTTTACACCCCCCTTTCCCTGTTCTTCTTGTCTCTTCTGATTAGAAGTTTCTGTGAAGTTCTGGATCTCAGTGCTAAAACGTTAAGGTGTTTAGTTTTCAGTCCAGTCATCTTGACTGGCATTTCACCAGATTATGTCACAGCTCTGAGACAGAAGATGTACCTGAGTTTACTTTACATCAGATTGCAGGAGAAGGCTGGTGCCTGGATTTCACCGGAGTCCGAGGCTGAGCTGTGTCCTGGTATCTGGGATGAAAGTCTAGGTGCCATTATACACACCTAGCCAAAGTGACATTGGGCAGGCTGTTGAATTTCTTTCTCTCATTTTACTGTGGGAATAGCTTTATAAACTTTCCCCTCTTGGGAAGAGGGATAATTAATCGACTGATGTTTGTCAGACTTTATTGCTAGTCTTGACATTAGGTCATATCATCATAGTCTTTAAACATGATAGTAAAGAAAGACTTTTTATAGAACAAAAACCCTCTAAACTGAAGCTGAGCAATTGGAATTGGACTCAGTTGGATGTGTCGTTTTTGGTACCATTCTACACTTACTGTGAGAAACCCGTTTGCTGATAGCGCTGTATCAGCTCCCCATGGTCTCACTAATGGTCTGTTTCTCACGTTCAGTATCACCAGTGGGTTTATGTTGGGAGCGGAAGATTTTTGCTTCACTTTTCCCTCTCCAAAACACTGTGTTTTTTAGAATCTGATGCAGATCACATCTGATTTATTACTTACAAATCCTCTACCAAATGGAGTTCATTTACCCCGTATCTTACATGTGACTTTGGTAGTTTCATCATTTTCTGTCTACTTCAGTGGCACTTCTTTCCTGTTATCATCACAGCTAAGTTTAAATTCCTTCTACAAATTTGCTTCAATAATCTACCCTCTCCTTGATTGTTTTACTTTAGAAAACAGTTCATCAGTAGTTTCTGTGAAAGCTTGCTATCTGCTAATGTCTAGTTAGTATAGACTTTCTAATGCCTTGTGCTTTATTTCTTTACTGTGGTGACCTTTTTGGACTAAAAGTTTAATTAATTCTTGTTTTTTTTTTTAATCCGGAGTAATACGATGCTAAAAGCAATATTTTTGTTTTCTCATGTACTTCAATTTTTTTACTGTTATGATCAACTTATGAACATCCGTTTAGTTAATGAGCAGTATTTTCTTTTTAACTGCTAATCAGTGCCTGTGAGCACTAAAGCACATATTTGTTTTACAGTAGAGTACTTCAATAATAAGTTTATAGACAAATCTGAGCATCCTTTCTGTTAAAGCCATGAAGTTAAGGATTCAAGATTCTTTGAGCCTAAACCACTGATAATCACACTTTATAGTGGATAGAACACTCTGCTGAGAAGTGTATTTGGATCTTTTTGGACATTTTTTAAAAATGGCTAAATAAAAGCTTGCATAGAAAAGCAAATAAAAACTGCTCCTGGAGGAGATGCAGATTCATGTGAATCTCACTGAAGTTAGGTACAGAGCCAGTCCTGCTTGAGAATACTCAGAAGCAGATGGAAAAAGAAAAAAAATATTGCCTGAAATATTATCTAGGACATGACATTCACACCCCCTCTTTATTTGGGGACTTACATGGCCTTTGGGAAGTAGTTCCAAAAGCAACATGCCAATTTTGCTGAAGTCCCACTGTCTGTTGCTCTATTCTCTGTGGAATTAAGCTCTGGGTTTTTAGGTGTCTGTTCCTATTGTCAGAATAGAGGGTAGTCGATAACCCACTGAAGTAATTTAGTCCTACAGACCTCTGTGAGCTTTGACCCTGGCCCTCTGGCGTTATATTTCCCCACATTCAGAAATATGTTGCCTCACTATATTTGTATGCTTCACTACTGGGAAATGCAGCAAGACTCTCTCTCTTGATCTTTATATAGAAATATTCTAAATTGGTGTCCTGGTTTTCTGGAAGTGGAGCAGACAGACAATAGCAAAGCAGGATTTAGTAAAATTAAAATACTTTTAAGCTGAGGTATACGTAATATATTTAATTTTGTACTTCTCTCTATCACTTTTTTATTTCCTTTTATGTACTATAAAAATTGTGGTTACCTTGAGAAATAATTTGCTTAATTTTGATAGTTTAATTTAAAACAAGCAAAGAAAATGTAAGATTATATCAGATTAAGCAAAGGATTGTCAAAGCAAAATTTGTCCAAAAAGCAAGTGGGTTTCAGCTGAAGCTACATGTAGGGTACAGTTTTCAAGTTTACATGTTACTCATAGCAATTATTGAAATCTGAGTCTTTCCCTCTTTTTCTCTAGTGTGTAGTTAATAATTTGCCACTTCCTAATTATTAGAATCTTCACTTTTATTTAGGTTTGTTATTCAATTAAGTACAACTATTTTTGTTAATATGATGCAAATACTCTCCTCTTAGTGAGGACTGATACATTTGCAAGTGTGCAATGAAAATGCGATTTGAATCAGCGTTGCTGCCTTTTCAACTGAAAATGTCTAGAAATACTGTCAACCCTGCTAAATGTTGCTGAACTGTTGCCAAACTAAATGCTTGATGAAGGACATCCCTTTACCATTGCTTGTTGGAAGCTAGGCACATAACACCAAGGGGATTGCTCAAGTTAATTCTGCTCTTACAGTGTTTTCATAAGCATTCACTGTTCACTGCTGGAAACAGGGAAGTGGGCAAGAAAGATCTTTAATCTGACCAGAGTGTTCTTATATAGCATACCAAAGGATTATATTTACTTTGACATAATAACCACATGTGGCACTCTGTGGGTTACACTCAATGCCATCCTTGGGTTTTGTGTATATTCAAACACTACACAAATATAAAGACCATTAATACAGAACTACTTCTAGATAATATGCCTGTTTAAAAAGTCAATTTGTTAGCATTTCTTGTTCTTGGGGATATAAATACACTCCCTTTCCTTATTATTCTTTTAAAAATTCACAGAGCACTTTCATATTAAAATATGTTTATCTTTTTTCCTCTCTACCCAAATTTTTTTTTGACTGAATTTCAAACTAATTATATGCTTTTCAACCATTACAGTTGAAATTATTACAGACAGTTTATTCTTTATATTAATTTCATTTAGGTAAGATACTGAAATAAGATAATTTGGATTTATGATAGCATTATTTTCTGAATTTCAGCACTGTTACCATAGTCATTATATGGCACTGTACTTAAATAAGTAATTCTTGTTTGTTCTGTGTATTGCAGAGGAACAGGTATCTTCTGCTGGGAAACCCCAGAAAGGACTGGTAGATCCTTACCCAACGTTTCAAAGAAGAAAAACCCCTCGTTTTCTTAAAATTGGAACTCCTTTCTATCAGGACAATCAACTTCAAGTCAAAGTCTACTGGAAGAAGACAGGTTTGTCAAATTTTTATTGTACTGTTTTTTCTAAGGAGGAACTCTCATCAACTGCCTCAGAGTTGTAGAACGTTGATATAATATAATGAACCTTGTACAATCATTCAAAGTTAAATCCTACACCCGTCCTTCGTTCCCTTCACCTTCACATTGGAGTGACACATTGCATCTCCTCTTTGTGTTATGGATGTGTAAATGTCTGGCAGAAGTCAATGATGTGAATCAGGTATCCAAAAAATTACAGTCAGTTGGGACACTGAATCTTCCCAGAGCTGAGTTAATTCTTAGTTCAGTGGAAGTTGCTTCTGCAAGGTTTTAAATAAGGAAGCCTTAAGTTCAACAGAGCTTTTGTGGCTATGAGTGTGGTCTCCCTGGAGTGTGGTCAGAGGGTCTTAAGCACATACAATTCCTGGGTGGATTTTCTGCTGATGCCGCTGCAGTATCACTTGTTGGATTTTGTCAGTTGAGAAATGAGTCAGGAAATGAATGTATATGGAAATCATGCAGTGGTGTCACAAAAAATAAACTAGTTTGAACCACAAAAATTGGAGTTATACTGGCTGTTGTTAAGGCCGCAATAGGCTTTATGCCAAACTTTATCAGTCACCTTGAATTAGAACAGGATGAATAGTTGGCCACAAACACTGGAAAAATCTTTAAATTGATTTTCTGCTAGGCTGCATGCACCCTTCTGTTTTTCAGAAGAATCTTAACAACAATTTTATCATTAATTCTTCCAGTCTAAAGGAAAATGCCATAAATTTTAAGTGTCTAATCAGATTCAGAAATCAAAAAAGGGATTTTCCTTTCTTGCCCTCTAAGAGCATATAGGTTGTTACACATTGCTCCAGCTTAGCCATAATAGGTTCATATGCAGTTATTTGAAAACATTTTTAACACTTATCAGTGTTTTAACTTAGAGAAATCTATATGTGTAGCAGTAGCACCTGTATAAAATCCATTCAATTTTCATATTTGAAATAAAGGGCTACAAAAATGGATAACCATCTTTTCTTCTGGAATTTTTAAAAGAGTTTTAGAAATATTTAAGTTCTTCTGGGTTTAGGTGTATGCAGCACCACCCTGAATGAGTGAGAGGCTATATAACCATTCAATTATGCTATGTAACACAAAAGTATGTCACACTGGATGGTGTGGATTGTGAGAGGTATCTTTTGCTTCTTAAGAAGTGCCTGCGTGTTAGAATGGTTACCTTTCTAGCCCTGCTGTATGAAGTACTTACAAATCAAATGCTTATTCCTCCATAAAGTCTTCAAGCTTTGGCTCAGCCTGACTACATAAACATTTTAAATGCTTTTCCCTTGGCTATGCTAGTTTTGTTTTTTCTAGCTTTCCCCATTATATTTCATTTTTGCCTAATTTCATGGAAAGCTGGAATAATTTAAGGTTTACGTAGAAGCTGAGGCATTTTTAATTCTGAATTCTGAGTTTATGTAACAATATGTGTTTGTTTATGCAAAGTAAGATTTATATATTCTGAGTTTGGGACTTACCATCTTAAGCTTTAGCCTTCTGGAAGTGAAACGTCAACTCATTGTCCAAGCTCCTTTTATAGTCAAAACAGAAAAGCAGGTGACTTCTGAAGCAGCTGAATCATTCTCTGGAGATGCCTCTCTCTTCCTTACTGAGTACAGAAGGGAGTCTAGACAACTCATTTGTGGAAGGCTTAGAGATGCCTAGTATCTCTCTATAAGCTGAAGTTCAATTCTGAGCAGTTTGAATTGAAAAAACTGAGGGACGAGATTCGAAGACGAGGAGACTGTGATGTCTCTCACAGGTGTAAGGCAGGTTGTGAAACTCTCAGTCTACAGGCAAAATTCAGCCCAGTGGAACAACTGATCCAGCTGCAACCCTTTTCCTGACAGCCCATTTCCAGAAAAAAGATTATGTGTCCTGTGAACAAAATGCCAGTGTGAAATTCACCCTTCAGTTTTTCCAAATTCACTGTTACAGTTAATGGAGGAAAAAACATGACCAATACAGCAATATTCATCTTGTAGGTATCCTGAACTAGGTATCCATCATTATAATGGTAACTTGGATATCGAGCTTCTAAGTAGATTTTACACCATAGTAACTTAAATGTTGGCATCTAAATCTAGAGCTGAATCCCACACTATATTACATACCTGGAAGTAATATTTGTAGTAAAAGTTAGAAATGCCTGTAAAAAGAAATAAGGTAGTCAGCATTCTCAAAGTAACTGTGACAGGAGATAATTAAGGTTAAATTAAATGAGGGAATGTTTTCTAGCTTGGAAATAACAGTGTTTGGAAGTGGTGTAATCTCCACAACTGGAGATCTTCAAAGACAGATGTGGGACAGATCTGTTAGAAATGACACGGATTTATGTACTGTCACCTTGTGCCAGGGATGGACCAGCTGAGTTGCTGACTGTATAGCTGACTCACCTTGTGTGACTCTGTACACCCGATTACATCAGGGGGACACCCGGAGGTCCATTTTGGTCATGTGGCAGGACCAAGCTCTGTCACATGCACCAGTGTGTGTAGGTATATGTCCCAGCCGTGCAGTGAAAGTTGCCTTCATTTTTCTCACAGAGGAACAGTGATAGCAAAGGCGTGTGAAGAGGGGCAGAATATGGCAGTTTGTCACGCTTACTTTTTTCCTTTCTTTTTTTAAAAAGAAAATATCTGTGTTCTGATTGACAGCATATGCAGTAACTCAGCAGGAGCCATTACCTCATCTGGAACTGAAATATAGCCAGTTACCTGCTCCTGAGAAGCTAACAGCTTCTATAAGCTCTTACAGGAGTTTGAATGTTATGTAGTAGATGGATGAGGTACTGACTGTAAATTTACTAGTGACGATTTACTGCAGAGCAAGAGTTTTTCACCACGCAAGGAACACAGCAGGAGAAGCATATTGGCTGTGTCTTGTCTTTATGAAAGACAGCAGTTACTGGAGCCAGCTGTGCAGGGAACTGTATAGAATCAGAATAGTTTGGGTTGGAAGGGACCTTTAAAGGTCATCTAGTCCAACCCCCCAGTTGTACCCACAGGTCTTTCTCCTTTATGAACTGCGCTGTCTCAAGTCGTGTTTAGGGAGTTGGAAGAGGCAAAAGAGTGCAGCAACTATAATGGGAAATACTGAGAGAGAATCTGCCTCAGCCTGCTTTATAGCCTAGCATCTAGGCTATTTTCCTTGCAGGTAGGCAATCAGAGTTCAAATCCTTCCTGACAGGGAATTGATCTCTTTGTCTTCTATGTGGTGGGTGAAAACAGGAGTCTCTGTTGATTGCCCTAATGTTGTCATTATTTTGTAGTTTGCTGTTAAAAACACCACTTTTTTGGTACAGGAACACAGCCATTCTGTAGTCATAAATTAGGATGTGTGACTTGAAAACAAAAATTAAGAAAATATTTTGAAACCATGTCAAATAAGTATATTGATAATGGTGAGAATTCCCATGAGTCTCAAGCTTGAATATGTTGGACATCTGTAAATTAAGCAAAATTTCAGTTGCTTATAGCAAAGATTACTTTGTGTGGTTTGATTTTCAAGTTTTTTTATACTTTCTATGATAGACTTCATGGTCCTAACAAGAGATGGTTACAGTGTTTATGAAATAAACACGTTATTTAGATTTTGTTGGGTTTTTTTTTAAGATTACGACATTTAAACCAGCATGATATGTTGCTATAGAGTGTCTTTTAGCTGTAATGAAAACTTTTAACAACTACTGGAACAGCAGTCTCACTTTGTAAGAAGGTTACTCATTTTCTATAGTAATAGCTGCTCAGAATTTTTTGTTGTATTCTTGAATTCAGCAGCCCTAACATTCTACTTAGACCCCAGATTACTTTTTTTTTTAATTTGGTCCAAACTCAAGATGGCTCTGTAAAAGAGGTTTGTACAGGCAACATTGTAGCATCACAGCATGCCACAGATTACCAAAGCAAATAGAAGGAAGACTATGGATTTCTTGCAGTCTCAGACCACTTAAGAAACACAAACGTGTTCCTAAGGTTGTTTTAGTTTATTACTTTATTTTCATTGGTCCCTTTGTTAGCTGAGAAATTGTTTTGATTTTGAATTTGAACCGTTTACTCTCTCTAAAAAGAATAAAATAGAACAGAATCATGGAATAGTTTAAATGAGTTGGAAGGGACCTCTGGAGGTCAGCTGGTCCAACCATCTGCTCAAAGTAGAACTCTGAAGTTAAATCAAGTTATCCTGTCCCATCTGTAAGGCCCTATAACAGATGTTGTTATTGTTTTCTAAACGACAGATAATTTGTCCTTTATTAATATCAGCCTGCAGAGGCCTAACAGTTTATTGCAATGTACCTTAGGATTTCCAGAATGTGTGGTGATGTCTCTTGAAATCCAAAGATAGCTCTTCTATTACTATGAAGAAGATTTATTCCTCTGTCATTTGCAGATGTGGCTCTAGGAAGCCAGTGAAAGACAACAATGATGACCTCAGGGCTGAAGCTCTTGGTTTTATGTTGTTCCTCTGGATAGAACTCATCAGACCTCTGTCCTGTGCAACAACTGCAATAGGGGGATGTTGCAAACTGTTACTGAACTGGCTTTATTAAAGAAGTGTTTTCTTACCAGTACTCAGAAAGTGAACACAGTATTTGAGTTAAAGTCCGAGGAAGTGGATGGAAGATCCTATTTCTCTATATATGCATCATAATGCACCACAGTTTGGTAGCAGGAAAAGACTTATTTAGGCCTGTTCTTCAAGTGTCATTTCTGAAGTCCCATTAGTTTCATTAAACATAAGGCATGAGTGGAATGTAGGATCTGGACTTTACATTAAAAAAAACCCCCACAATTTTTTCTGAAATAATCTTTCAGTTTGAATGCTTCAGTATGATGACAATAATAACTTTACTGCAGGATACATGCTAACAAAAATAACTCTACGCTTCAAGCAGTACAATGTGCTTAGCAAATGCACATAATTTTGCTAGACAGAGTCATCACAAAAGCATATTGTAATTATAT